ACTGACTGTAAAGAGAAGCACACCTTCTGGTCTCCACTGGTCTGGCCACTGCACAGCAGACCCCACCCAGAGCCTAAATCCCGAGCAGCAGGCCTGGCCATGTGCAGCGTGGCCAGATGTGGCCACCGGAGCAGTGCTGCGGGTGATGGCCCCTCAGCTGAGCTCACGGAGCTCGTGGCTAGCCGGGCTCTCTGCCCTCCCTCAGACATAGGCCAGGCACCCGTGGGGGCCAGGCTGCTCAAGCTGCATCTCAGCCTCTTGGGCACATCCACTGCCCTGGCTGTCCTGTCCGTATGTGGGCCCTGGAGACCAACTGACACACACTGCACCTAAACAGCCTGCAGTCTCAAGGACCTGGCCACAGGGCAGAGGGGGCCTGTCCACCCTTGTCCCTAGCAAGGACAGTATCTGCCCCTGGCACTATCCTGGTCTCCTTACAGCCTCCCTGGGAGTGTGCTTGGCCAGCACCTGGGCCACAGCAGGACTGCAGTGGACCTGGGAGGCCCAGCCTTGGGTGCCGACTTGGAGTGAAGGTGTGGGCTCAGCAAAGCTGCAGGTTAGCGGGCAGCAGTTAGGGCTTAGACGTGGGGTAGGAGCAACCTCAGCCTGTTCTGCTGGCCGGGAGATTAGGCCACCCCCAAAGACCTGGCACTGTGTCCCGGGGGCCCAGAGTCCTGAAGGGAGCCCGGCTTGGTGCTGTCCACCCGCCCTCTCGAGGCTGAGTGCCTGGGCCAGCTCTGAGGTTGCATCCTGTGCTAGCAGAGGAGGCGGCAGGAAAGCGAGGCTAGGCAGCCTGGCCCTCCCCGGCAGGGAAGGCGGGAAGGAGCCCGCCACCAAGGCCTGGGCATTTACGCCCAGGAGGCTGGAGGGAGGCCAGGGTTAGCATCCTGCAGGCTGAGGCCCAGCGCCCGCTGCCACCGTTAGTCCACAGGCGCCAGCATGTACATACCTCACTGGACGGCACACAGTCTTTTTGTTACATTAGCGTCAGAACCAGGGGCAACTTCTGCTTTCAAATAAGAGAAACTACTCTCAGCACTTGTCACAGGAGAGAATCCCTGAATGAGGCATCTGGGGGCCGCGGGACCAGGCCAGCCTCACCAACGTCCCCAGGACCATGTGCCACTGGGGTCCAGTGCCCCAATTCTCTGGCCACTGAGCCCAAGGCAGCTACACACCAGTCCACCCTGCACAGCCTCTGGCTGCAGCTGCCCTGCCCCCAGGCCCTGTGGGAGTGGGAGTGGGGCAGGGTCAGTGGGTCAGGGGAGCAGCAACCTGTCAGCAGAGGCCCCCATAGCTGCCCGCCTGTGTGCGGCTTGCTTCCCCGGGCGGTGTGCCCAAGACTATTCAACTCTCTCCAGGGTGGGGTTGCGCCTGCAGCACCCCTGGAGAGGACAGGAGAGGGGCCGCTGGCAGCAGGGAGAGGCCAGGCCCTTGTGGGGCGCAGAGCTTGACCACAGGCCGGCAGCCCTACCTGCGCTGGCCTGGCCCCAAGTTACCTTCCTGGCTCCTTGAGGGACGCTTCTTCCTCCGCTTGCTTGTCCCCTTTGAGGCCCGGCCTCGGGACCTTGGGAGGGTGCCAGACCCCGAGGAGTCTGTCACTGCGTCCTCGGAGAAGGACTTGTCCAAGGATGTGTCCAGCGCAGACTCAGGGGCAGTGTCTTCCTCATCCTCGTCCCCACCAGGGCCTGTGGCAGGGAGGCCAGCACTCTGGCCCTGGATAGCTGTGTCCTCTGGTCCTTGGCCTGTGCCGTGCGCCTTGGCCTGGTGGACGCCCTGCAAGCCTCCAAGCTCCTCCGGGTCCTGGCTTGAACTCTCAGCCCCGGGGCGCTTGTCTCCAGAGAACTGGAGGGGCTTCAGGGCCCGGGTGTCTCCCAGAGTCACTGGCCAGGCCCCCTCGGAGGGCTGGGGATTCAGCGTGTCCTCGGGGGCCAGGAAGTCACTGGCATCCACGTACCAGGAGGAGCGCCTCTCCAAGGGCCGCGGACTGCCCTCCTCCCCGGCGGGCCCTGGGCTGGGAGTCACAGCATCCGCCAGGTCCCAGCCCTGTGGCCTCCCAGCTGCAGCAGCATCAAGGCCCAGCTCAGGGGCGGGGTGGCTGGCGTCCTCACGGGGGCCCTGGGCAGGGTCACTGGCGGCTGCTGTAGATGGAGGGACGCATCAGTGAAGGGCCAGCCCAGCCCCTCCCTGGACAGCCCTCCTGACCCCCAGGCACATCTGACTCCTTAAACTCCACTGTTTCAGGGGTCCCCATGTGTGGCTTCCCACAGGCTAGACAGGGTCCTGCATCCTCACTCTGCCCACAACATGGACAAAAGAGGGCACCCCAGGGGCCACAGGAGCCACCCCTGTCCCCAGATCCTGAGGTGGCTACCTGGGAATGGGGGCCTCTCCCCGAGGCCTGCCTGTCCCACCACTTCAGGTCCCCGAGCCCCAGGGACGCAGTGGGCACCATCCCCCATGTCTCCTGGCTGCTCAGAGGCTGGACAGATGCACCCACCCCCGGGCAGCCTCCTTGCCGCGCTGTCAGAGCTGCCCCCTGCTGTCCCCTCCCTCCAGTGCCCCCTGGGAACCCGAAGAGAGGAGGAGGGCCAGGGTCTCACCTGGCACTGTGGCCCGCAGGAGTTCTGCTGAGGCCTTGCTGCCCACCTCGCTGTCCCCCCGGCCTCGGGCCGTCTTGCGCAGCTGGAAGCCCTTCCTGATGTCGGCCAGCAGGGCATCGATGACACACACCTCCTCCTGCCTCCCAGGGCCCTTCCTGACTGAGGAGCCAGAGACGGGCAGAGAGCTGCTCTCAGCCGCAGGAGAGGCCCGGGGCGCTGCTCTGGGGGGAGGCACCCCACCTGGCCCTGCCCCCCCAGGCCTCACCAGGCTTCCCGTCCTCGCCCCTCGGCCTCCGTGCCTCCTCTTCTGCCAGCTGCTGCTTCCTCCTCTCCGCCTTTGCCACCTGCTCCTTCCTGTCCTTGTTCTCCTGTGCAGGCAGACAGGAGTCCCATTGCCAGGCTCTCCAGCCCCCAGTCACCCTGTGAGCCTTCGGTGGGCATGTCCCCCTCCCTGGGCTGCGGGGGCACAAGGGACAGGCCAGGCTGGCTCACGTGGCTGTACCCACCCACACCCCCTGGACTGAAGGGCAACTCTGCCCAGGGCCTTTCCTGGCTCACCTTCAGGGCACGGGTGAAGAGGTCCCGGAAGATCTTCATGGTGCTGAAGGTGTCCTCCAGGGACAGCTGCTGGGGGTCCTCACACAGGTAGTCGGCCAGCTCCAGCTTCTTCTGCTCGATGGCCTCAAACACCTGGTCCAAAGCCTGGGAGGCCGCGATGCTGTCCTGATGGCAGGGGCTTGGTCACCACCCAGGGCTCCCAGGGAGGGCTGGGCCCAAGGGCAGGGTGGGACCCCCCTGCATCAGGAGGTGGCAGCCACAGCCTCCAGGCACCGGTGTCAGCCCAGGACCGATGTGGGTGCTGTGCACTCCTGGGTGCCTGGGGCCCAGGCTCAGGGAGGCCCCTCTCTCCCAGAAATGAAGCCAGGAGCCCGAGACCCTCCCCGGAGGCCTCCTGGGCTCTGCTCTGCCCACAGCTTAGCCTCCCGGGAGCCCACCAGGCAGCCTGGCTGCCAGCCCCAGGGCCCCTCCTACTTGCCTGGAGGCGCTGGGCATACTGCTCCTGCACCTCCGGGTCAGAGGTGGACACCTTCCGCTCCGTCCCCAGAAGCTTCTTCAGGTTGGTGCTGGCTTCGGAGCGGATGACCTCCAGGTTGATTCTGAAAGGTGTCAAAGGGTTGGGCCTGCTCAGGGGATAGCTGAGGTCCAGCCACACCGCGACTGTGGGGCCCTGCCCACCCTACTGGGGCCTTAGGCTTCGTACACTCCAGGTGCCCGAGACCCGGCCCGCCGGTGCCTCGTGGTGGGGACCGGAGCTCAGGGCTGAGGTCTGGCCTGGGCTGCAGGGCTCGGGCTGGGGAGAGCTGCCTACCCTGCGGCCTGGGAGGGCTGTGCCAGGTCCTGGGGCAGCTGCAGGAGGTCAGGGTGGCTCTTTTCCACTTCCTGCAATAGGATGCATCTATGAGACCCTATTTTGGCCCCCCACGTACCTGGGGATGCCCCTGCCCCAGCTCAAACTCTGAGCAATGAGGCCCAGGAAGTCCTCAGCCCTGGGGCCCTCCTGGGGCCTCTGGACCCTTCCCTGGGGCCTCTGGACCCTTCCCTGGGGCCTGGCTATGATCTTGACAGGTGTGATTTGCCTTGGGACTGCCTCACTCCCAAAAGGGGTGGGTGTCCTGGGGCAGGATGGAGGACCATCCTGGCACCGGGAAGGCAGGAGGGAGGCGTGCTGGGGAGGGGCCGTGGCGTGGCTCCAGCAGGCTGGAGGGAGTCCTGGGAAGGCTGGGGTGGGGGCTTGGGCAGGGGCACACTCCAGCCTGCCCGTCCTGCTGGGGCCCACCTCCAGCACGTGGTGCAATAGCGTCACCCGGTTCTGCTGCGACTTGGTCTCTGTGAGCTTCAGCAAGGTGCTCATCTTGAAGCCATCAGCGTCACCGGTGTGGCTGCCCTGGGAGGGACCGGGAGTGAGTCTCCCTGTCACTCCGGGGCCTAGAGGGCAGAGGGGTAGGTCCCTGACTTACATAGTTGAGGAAGTTCCCGATTTTCAGGATCAGTTGGCAGAAGACAGGCAGCCGGTGACTGGTGAGCAGGCCTGCGGGCGGGCAGGGCTGAAGGAGGGCACAGAGGCCCCAGGCCCCAGGTGCCCTGGCGTGGGGTCTGTTCCTCCCTCCCCACCCTCAAGCCCCTTGCCCCAGCTCAGCCCAACATGGGGAAGAACACGGGGCAGGGCTCAGTGGGCATGAGCCCTTCACCATCAACTCAGAGGCTCTGGGGCGGAGGTCTTCTGGACCCTCACAACCCCTGGGACAGATGACCACCACCTGTTCTTCCACTAGGGCCACCAGGGTACTGGGAGGAACCTTCTGGAACCCTCAATGCCCTTGTTCTCAGCTCCCCTCTGGGCAGCAGGGAGCCCTCCTGGCTCAGTGGCTGAGATGGGAGGGGACGTCCACTGCGCCTTGGTCATCGGGTCCCACCTGTGTCCCTGTTCTGTGGTTTGGCAGACCCCTGCCCATTCCTCACAGGTGGCAGTCTGCACATGCCCCTGTGTCTGCATGTGTGTCTGACAGGTGTGTGCATGTGCGTGTGTGTGTGAGGTGTATGCGTGTGTGTCTCACACATGTGTGCATGTATGTGTCTGACAGGTGCATGAGTGTGTGTATGTGTGTCTGAGGTGTGTGTGTGGGTCTGACAGGTGTGTGTGTATGTGTCTGAGGTGTGTGTGTCTCACACATGTGTCTGACAGGTGCATGTGTGTGTGTTTGTCTGAGGTGTGTGTGGGTCTGACAAGTGTGTGTGTGGGGTATGCATCTGAGGTGTGTGCGTGTGTGTGTCTGACAGGTGCATGTGTGTATGTGTGTCTGAGGTGTGTGTGGGGGTCTGACAGGTGTGTGCGTGTGTATGTGTCTGAGGTGTGTGTGCGTGTCTGACAGGTGTGTGTATGTGTGTGTATGTGTCTGAGGTGTGTGTGTGTGTGTGTGTGTGTGTGTGTGTGTGCATGCATTAGTCTGCCCTCGCTTGTGCCTGTGTGTGCAGGACACTGCGTGCACACGTGTGTCTGATGCATTTGTGTCTCTGGTGGGGGCAGCAGTGGAGACAGGGTGGTCTCTGGTGAGGTGGGGGTGGGCACCCCATGGGCCCTCTGCAGCTACCACAACTCGGCCTATAGCAGGAGCTCCTGTCCCCTCCTGCTGGTAGGCCCGTCCCCAGGCTCCCCAGCCCCACTCACTCTCACAGGCGGCGAGCACCAGCTGGGCCTTGGGTCGCACCATGTCCAGCACAATGGCCGTGCCCTCACACAGCAGCATGCACTCCAACCGCAGCTGGTAGCTGTCCGGGCAGAGCAGGGGTCAAGGCTGGGGGCTCCCAAAGCCTGTCTGACTCTGCAGTGTGGGGGCCCTAAGAGTCCACTGGGCACAGAGTTGGTGGGCAGGGCAGAGGAGGGGTCCCACAGCCTGGACCCTTCCACATGCTCTTTAGGGCCTGCCCCAGGATGAGGTGGGGCCAGGCAGGGGCCTAGGGAAAGACCCCATTCCCCTATAGCCAGGGCAGCCTGGGCTGGAGATGCCTTCTCAGGAAGACCCTGGTCCTCTTGGGAGCCCCAGAGCCCCCTCTTTGAGGGAATGGGTGGGGGATGTGGGGCAGGAGCGACGTTGGCAGCCAGCCAGCTGTCCAGGGCCCCTCTGCCCCAGGGCCCCTCTGCCCTCTCCCTCCCTGGGTTCTGGGCAGGCTACTCACCAAGGAATGTCCATCAGGAGGACGTAGAACTGGTCGGCGTTGGCCAGCTTGGCTCGCTCCTCTGTGAATGTCCTCAGGTTTTCGATCTGCCAGAGGAGACCACGTGTGGGCAGGTGTGCACGCCAGCCCTCCTCCTCGGGAAGGCCTCGGGCCTCTCCCAGCCTCCACCACCTGCAGCAGTACCGCCTGGGGCGGAGAGGTGCTGGGACCCTCCCTGCCTGCCTGCTGGGGGGCCAGGGTCCCAGCTCACCTCGTGCTTCTCTGGAAGTAGTTTCAGGAGCTGTTTGAGAACCTCCACGTCAAACTTGGCCGTGTCCCCAGCCCGGATCATGGCGGTGACTTCCTCGTTGGAGCTGAAGGGGTGAGGGGAGGGGGTCACAGAGAGGACAAGCCATCTGTCCAGGGTCACGTGATAATGAGGGTAGGGTCCAACGGCTCACTCCCTGTCAGTATCCCCCTTCCAGAGGACTGCTTAGGAGTCGGGGTGGGTGGACACAGCTCAGGGTCACCCAGTGAGCTCCTGCAGGGGCCAGTGCCTGAGCTGCAGCATGGAAGAACCTGGGATGGGAGGCGGGACCATGTGACTGACTGGCCACAGCTTGTCCATAACCTTGGGGGAAAGTCCTGGATGCTCTGGGCCTTTCTCCTCAAGAGCCAGGACTGGCGGCCTCTAGGGTCTCCTGCCCTGAGGAAGGAGCATGCACTGCCCCAGAGTAGCCCGCAGAGGGCGCTGCCGGCCGGGCTGGCTGGAGAGGCTCACCACTTAAACTGCTTCAGGAAGATGTTGAGGTTCAGGCTCTTCTTGGAGTCAAGAAAAGTGACCTGGAAAACCGCCACATGAATGGGTCCCAGGGGGTGACATGGGGGGACCCTGATGATCCTTGCCCCATGCCTACCTCCTTGGGCTCCTTCCTGGCTGGGGCAGCTGTGGGCTCCTTGGGCTTGGCCACGGGGAAGGAGAAGAGCCGCTCAATGCTGGAGAAGTCAGGCTCCACCGCGTCTGTGCCAGGGCTGCTGAGTGTCGCCCACATGGAGTTGCGCTCTGCAGGCGAGGGGCAGGAGAGGGGCACCACCATCAAGCTCACACCCCCTCCCAGGTCTGGGGGGCCAGGGCCAGGTGGGCCAGGCCTCTGAGGGCCGTCAAGGATACCTTGCCTAGATGCCGTCCTAGGCCAAGCATACAGCAGGCGTTTAATAAGTGCCTGGCAAAGGAAGACCCCTGGCTGCTATTCTACTCTGTGCATGTATGTGGACAAGCACTCATGTATCCACATGGTAGGTGACCTGCCCTATCTGGCCTGGGCCTCCTCGAGCATCAGCACCCCAGGCCCCAGGGTGCCAGGCACAGGGCTGGGCATGGGCTGTAGCACCAGAGATGCACACTGCCCACAGGACCAGAGGGACCTCAAAGGAAGCCTCTGCCCTGCTCCGGCCCTGCCCCACACCAAACCACATGAAACTGAGCCCGAGCAGGACCCAGGCTGCCCTGGCCATGCAAGAGTGGGCAAATGCAGGTGCACCACCCCTCCCCAGCACCTCTCGTATGGCACCAGCCTTCAGGCTCCGCAGCCTCACCTCGGGCCACGTTGGACGGAAGTTTCTGCCAGTTCAATTTCTTCATGCGCAGTGTGGGTGGGTTCACCCTGCGGTGGCTGGGGACCCAGGCCGAGCCCAGGCTGTGGTCCACGTGGGCCACAATGAGCTCTTCCACGCCACCCGCAGGCAGAGTTGGAGGTGGAGGAGGGCCCCAGCCCCCTCCAGGCGGTGGTGGGGGGAGTGGAGGAGGTGGTGGGGGCAAGATCCCGCAGGAGCCAGGCAGGGGAGGTGGCAGAGGGGGTGCTGGGGGAGACACGGCCCCCAGGCCTGGCAAGGGAGGCGGGGGTGGGGGCAGTACTGGGGGAGGCGTGGTCCCCAGGCCTGGCAAAGGAGGTGGAGGGGGTACTGGGGAAGGAGTGGTCCCCAGGTCAGGCAAAGGAGGAGGGGGTGGAGGGGGTGCTGGGGGAGAAAACATGGACCCTAGGCCTGGCAATGGAGGTGGAGGGGGTATGAGGGGAGACCCAGCTTCCAGGCTTGGCAGGGAAGGTGGGGGTGAAAGGGGCCCAGGGCTGGAACTGGGGAGGGGCGGTGCGGGTGGGGGTGGGGAGTGTGCTGGCTGCTGGGGGGCTGTCTTCCCACTGGTGCTCTGGAGGCCAACTGGGTGCTGGTGGGCAGGAGCTGTGGCCTGCTGCTGGCCCTCCATGCCAGCCAGGGGAGCAGCAGTGTTTTGGGGGGACCTGTCCCTTGGACTCTGGCCTAGGTTGGCCTGGATGCTCTTGTGGGCCTTGTCCAGGGAGGTGGGTCGGGGCCTCCCTCTGCTGAACAGCAGACGCTCAGCCACCTCCTCCAGGGTGCATTCCTGGGCTGCAGCAGGGGAGATGTCCAGGGTTAAGAGAGAGGGCTGGGGACAGAGACAGAAGGAGGCCACCTCCCTCAGACAGAGGATGGGTTAGGGGTCAGGGTGGGCCTCCCCACATGGTCTAAGACCTGCTTCTTCCCACCAGGTCGACCCCTCTGCCTGCCTGGCTCACCCCCTGCTCACCATCACTGGCCAGGAGCACGGCCCGGTTCACCAGGCTCTCCAGGGCCTCCCAGAGCAGCTGTCCTGAGCGGCTGGTGGGCTCCAGGTGCAGGAGGCCTTGTAGCACTGACAGCAGCTGGGCTGACACTGGAGAGCAGCTCACCTGAGTGGGGCAGGCCGACAAAGGGCAGGTCAGTGGCAGTGCCCTCCTCTGCCTGTCTGCCAAGGGCATCCGTCCCCACTGACCCCCTTCACATAGCTGAAGGCCTGGTGACGAGCAACTCAGAGACAGGGTTCTTTGTGTTACTGGTGACTCTGGGGACTGTTGGGTGCATTATGGGATATTAAATAGCATCTATGGTTTTCACCCATTTGATGCCAGGAGCAGGCCCTATCTAGTAGTGACCAAGCAAAAATGTCTCCAGATGTTTCTGGGTGGTGCAGAGTCAGTGAGCTAGAAGGAGGGCCTGGGTGCTCTCAGACCCAGTCTCCTAGACTCTCAACTGGCCCTGTAGTTCCCTAAAGTCCTCTGACAGTGACCAGCGAGCCGGGGCCCAGGATGGCATGGTCAACTCAGGGCAGCCCTGGCCCTTGGAACCGATCCTTCTGGATCTTGCAGCCCCAACCCTGTTCCCAGGCTGCCTGCTCTGGGCTCTGCCTCACCTCTGCGCCCTCATCCCTTGCTGCCCCCTGGAGTGTGACCCTCGTTCTACTGCCCAGGTCACAGGAGGGTCTGACCCATGCGCAGCCCAAACACACCTTGTGGAACAGGGATGCAAAGACTTCTTGGTGGCTGTTCATGTTGAGGCCATTGCACACACGCTGCAGCTCCTCCTCGTCCTCTGCCTTGGCCTCCTCAAAGGCCTCCAGCTGGATCAGCAGGTCAGCGTCCTCCAGGTCTCTGGGGCAGGAGGGACCGGGGCCAGCTGACCTGCTGCTCCCATCAGCCCTGCTTCCCCAGGAACGCAAGACAGGATGGCCCAGGGCCCCGCTGCACATCTGTTCCTACTCTGCTGACCCGAGGACACTGGGCAAGTCTCCTGGACATCCCTGTGTCTGACATGTGGCCACGGCAGCCAGGGGTAGCAGGTTGAGAGGTGGGCTCAGGTTGGAGCCTCGCAACCTGCTGGGCTGCCCACCTGGGCATCTCCACACCCCTAATAAACGGAGCTCACGTTCTCCTGAGGGCTAAGTGCAGGGTAGAGCCAGGACTTCCTCTGGAGGATGGGAGGGTGTGGTCAAGACCACACCTGAGGCAGGTCCACCAAGCCTACCTGGGAGCAGGGGGCGGGGCTTCTGGCCCCAGCAGGAGGGCCTGAGTGTTCACTGGGCTCAGGCATTGCCACTCAGCTCAGCCTGGCCAATGAGCAAAGCCCTCAGCAGGCAAGGCCAGCCCCCACCCCCACCCCCAAATTGGCCTGCCATCCACTCAGCAGACCTTTGCCCAAGGCTAGCTTGACAGGACCAGGCCCTGCTGAGTCCCTCAGGCTGGCTTCCCGGTGGGAATCCAGTAAGTAGAGTCCTGAGGTTGAGATGGGGGTTCTTGGCCAGGTGGGTCTGGCAGGGTAGGATTCCGAGTCGGCAACTAGAACACACTTGATTCAGAGGAGGGATGAAAGGCTGCCAGCGTGACTCCTGGGGATCCCTGGGCTCGGTGTGAACCACCCGAACGTCACGTCTCGCACTGTGTCTGGCTACTCGAGTACCGGGTGCCAGCCTGAGGCCCGGCCTCGGGGCAGGCCACTGGGCTTCTCCTGGAAGCTGCCTCTGCCATCTAAGGTCTGTTAGGGCCAGGCTAGGACACCAGGGAAGGTGGGCTCGGTCTGGGGAGCAGAGGGGAGGCCAGCAGAACCAGCCACAGCAGGGACTCACCGCAGTCGGGTCAGAATGTCCAGGAGCTGCAGCCCTGGAAAGGGATGGGGGGTCAGAGGGTTCAGAGGCGGCCTCTGTCCCCCAGGTCTCCTGCCCATTCACCCCACTGCACGCATCACCCGGCTCACAGGACATCAGGGTCCTGAGGCTCCAGAGGTGGGTGACATGTTGGCTACACCATGTTACTCCTTCAGTGGTCACTGCCAGAGTGGGCAGGACTGCAATTAGGGACCAGACTACCCTTTTCCTTCTGCTGCCCAACCAGCCTCTAAACGGAGACGGATGTCCAGTTCTGAGGCCTGTGACCACTAAAGGCACAGTGGTGGCAGGAGACTCCCCTACCCTGGCCCGGGCTGGGCTGGCCCAGGGGACTCTTGGAAAGACCTGCCAGGTGCCTGGCCAGAAGGAGGGCAGTCAGGAGCCCTGGGCAGCAGAGGGTACCAGGCTGGGTGGCAGTTACCGATGAACTCGCTCCGCAGCTGGGTGCGGGTACGGAGGTCCTCGGGGCCAAGGATGACAGCGTTGACCACGCTGAGCAGGGTGACCACGTAGGGCACGTTGTCACTGTCAGAGAGCTCGTTCATGATGACACTGAAGCGGTACTGCTGGCTGCACACCGTCTGCAGGGAGGGTGGGGTCAGTGTGCTCTGGGGCGGTCCTGCACCCAGCCACAGCCCGGCACTCACCTTGTAGTGGTCCAGGGCATCCAGGGTCAGTGCGTGGCCCTCAGGCGAGTAGATGCACAGGGCGGCCAGCAGCTCAAACACCTGCTTCTTGACCATCACATTGGACGTGTCCAGGGCTGCAGATGGGGGTGTCTCATGGGTCCCCTATCCACCCTCCCTGGCCAGCCTTGCTCAGGGCACTGCCTGCCAGGGGGATCTCCCTCCAGGCCTGGCACACAGACACCAGGGGGCGCTGTGTGCTCACCCATGCCCACAGTAGGTGCTGGCACAGGGCTCTGCCTGCCAAGGTGACCTGCCTCCCAGACCACCTGGAGGAAGGGGAAGGTGACCCTAGCACTCCCAAGGTCAGATGAGGCTGGACTAGGATGGCCCCTGCCACTGGCTCTGGGCTGTTTTCCCCGAGCTCAGTACCAGCTGTGTTCCCAGCAGATAGCCTGATGTCTCTTCCCCTGAACCTCTGCCTTCCACCCCATCTCCAGAGCTGGGAAAGGTCCGGAGGGGTCTCTCCTCCGTCCTGCTGAGAACAGGCCACAGGGCTTGACAGAGGCTAGCTGGGCCCAGCCTAGAAGGGGCTGAGGTTGGTGTGGGCCTACGTTGGACAAGCGATGGGTGGCCTCTGGCTTCCTCACCACACAGGCCCCTGCTGTTCCCACTGTCCCTGGAGCCTGAGTGCCACCCTGGAGTAGCACAGCTGGGAGACAGAGGACCCAGAGACTGCCATGTGTCTCACAGAGGCCACAATGAACTCTGGCCACAGCCTGCGGAGACCCCCTGGGGCCAGAACATAAAGCACACGCAGCCCTTGGGGCCACAAGGCAGGAAGCAGTAGGCACAAGAGGCCAAGGCCAGGCTCTGCCTGCCAGGAAGGACAAGCCCTCTAGGGCAGGAGGGGGGACAGCAGGGTGGAGAGCTGTGGAGGGTGCTGAGAGGTGGACAGCAATAGCAGGAGTGGGCCAGACATGGGGCTGCGATGGCTAAGGTCCACGGGCTTGGAGCCAGGTGGAGCATATGTGGGGGCCACTCAGGTGGACATTGGGAGAACCAGGGCCTGAAGCCAGGGGTGGAGCCAGCACAGGGCTGACGGAGTCACAGGGTGGAGGGAGAACGGGGACAACCCCGTGCGAGTGGTGGAGGGAGAGAGGTGGCCTGCCCTGTGCTTGGCAGCCAGGGGCTGCGCCCACGTCACCTGGGCAGGCCTGGCTCACCCTGGGACAGCTGGCGCACGTAGCCCTGGTTGCTGAGGATGTACTCGATGCCCTGCTGCGAGTTCATGACGGCACGCACGCAGCTGACGCAGGTGAGCTGCAGCAGGGCGTCCGCGATGCGGGCCACGCCACGGCCCGACAGCCGGGCCAGCGCCTCCAGCAGCAGGTCCAGGCCGCTCTGCTCCAGGAACTGCACCATCCAGCCGCCATCGCTGCTCTCCAGGCGCTTGCGCAGGCCTGAGTAGTTGACCACGGAGGGCATCTGGAGCAGCCGGATGCAGAGCTCAGGGTCGGCACTCTCCAGGTTGGCCTCCGTGGGGTCCGAGTCCTGCGGCCCCAGCTTCTCCTTCAGCGCGGCCCACTTGCGCTGTGCTCCCTCCTTCACCGACATCTTGCCAAACTGCAGGGTCCAAGAGGGACAGGGCCGTCAGCTCAGCCAGAGGGGAGGCCAGGGCCCAGCTGTCACCATGGCATGGGGATGCCACTTTCCGCTGCCTCAGTTTCCCCTCATGCTTCCAGCTCAAGCCCTGAGGAGCTGGGAAGGCCTCATCGAGGGCTCCCCTGGGCCTGCACAGGCAGCGAGTCCCCCATTCCCACGAGGACCTGAGGCTCAGAGCAGGGTCAGAGGACCTGCCATCCCTGCAGAACTTGGATCCTGATGGGCTGCAGTGGCCAGGCTGGCTGGAACAGCACTGGGCAGTGGCAGCGACACAACAAAGCGCCCTTTTCTTTCTGGGTGCTTCCCGGGCCGCCTACAGCTTTGGCAGCAGGGCTGGGAGGAGGGGTGGGTCACAGGGCTCCAGTTGCCCCCAGCGGGCAGCAGCCCCGCCAGGCCAGTCTCCCCAGGCCTGGCAGCCTCTGGTGGGTGGAGGGCACACCAGTGAGGAGCGGACGCTGGGTACATGGGGTGCACCTGGTCAGGGGCAACAGGCTGACTGCAGCCCAGACCTTTCCCCAAAGCAGAACACAGGACAGGCAAAACCACCCTGCTCTCACCTCCACCCACCCCTGGCCCTGCCTGGGTCCAGCTGGCTGTGACGCCGTCCCCACCGTAGTCCCCAGAGACTGGCCTCAAAGGTCAGGGGCATCCCAGGCCCTCATGCAACCATGTATGGCTGGATCTTATATTTAGCCCCTGAGAACCAGAGTGTGGTGCAGGGAGTGGGAGGCAGGGTTTGGTGGAACACGGCCCCAGGGCTTCAGACCCCTCCAAAGCCCCAGGCTCTCCCTGCACCCTCCACCTGACCCCAGCTGTCCCCTCTCCCGTGGCAGGCATTTACACTGGCCAGGTTTGGGTGGGGGAAACAAGGCAGCCCCTGGGAGGCAGGGTTACATGCCCACGGCCCCACAGCTGGTGACCCTGGAGTCTGCTAAATGTCCAGTGCAGCCTCGCATCAAGTACTCCCTCACCCAGTAAACTAGAGGGGAGACCCCAGGCCAGAGGGACCACCCAGGAGACCATGGCCACACTGGAGGAGTAAGCCGAGGGAGCTCTGGGTCCCAGTGCCTGCCCTCACCCTGGGGCCCTGCTGGGCTTTGTCCTGGTGAGCATCGTGGGAGCACCCAGCCTGCCTAGTCCCTATCTCTTGCTTATCCACCTGCCCTGCAGGGCCCATGGGCCCCCTCTGGCAGGAACCTGGTGTGGACAAGAGGGCTGTCCTATGCATGTGGACCCAGCTCGGGCCATCAGCAGGTCTCTGCTCAGTCATTCTTAGCAAAGCCTCAGTTTCCTCATCTGTGTCTTGGACATCTGGTGGCTGGAGCATCCTAGGGGCTGTGGGTGTGGACACCCCTGGCCTACAGGCAGTGAGGGGGCCGTCTGGGTGGATACCAGCCCCACAGCTCCTCAATCTAGGTCCTATGCTGGGCCTCAGAGTGGGGAGCCCGCGCCCTCCCCCAGGCCTGGCCCTCAGGCCGTCCTCCCTCCGTCTGTCCACTTACCCAAATGCGCAAAACCTTGCGGCTGCCTCTGCCCACCCATTCCTGTCTCAGGCTTCTCATCACCGCAGACCCCTAAGCTGCAGGATCCCGTCTTCAGGTGGCCTCCACCAACCTCGGCCCTCGGCCCTCCCGGGCAGCCTCAGGTTCCCAGAGCCCTCTGGGTGGCGAGAGAGCCAGGGCTCCAGAGCCAGGAGGAGCAAGACTGCCGGCCTCTGCACATCTCCCCCCACCCTGAGGAGGCTCCCAGAACTGACCCTCCCTCCCCACCCATCCTCTGCTCCATTGGCCAGAGCTGCCGTCCCCTTGGCACAGACTGGGTGGGACGGACGGAGTGTGAACCCTCCCAGGCCAGGCCTCTGGCATCCAGGGTGCCCTCTCCAGCCAGGAGCCCCAGGGGCCCTTGGTGCAGGGGAACCTGATCTTTCAGAGATAGCAGTCACCTAGAACTGACCCACCAGGCTCCAGGCTGTCAGACCAAAGTTCAGGGTGCTCTGGACCCTCCCGGCCCTGGGCACCCACCATCCTCAGGACTTCAGGCTCTCTCCCTATAGACCCCAACTGACAGGAGCCCTCAGCCTGTGGGGCAGCACCTGGGCAGGAGGTTGTGTCCTGGCCCCATGCCCTGTCCTGGGGCTGAGCTGCACACTGCCCCACTTGGCCCTATGTGGGGCAGCAGGTTGGGGCAGGGGTCTACTGGGTGTGGGTCAGCTGGGACAGGGAATTCAGCCAGACACCCAGAGGCAAGGTGAGGGCACTCCTCCCTCTGACACTGGCCAAGCTGCCAAATCTCATGGGGGACGGGCCCATTCATAGGGTCAGGCCCTGACCAGGGATGTCCTCCTGGAAACATCCCAGCTCTGCAGGATGCAGCTGGGTACACAAAGGGACCATGGTGACTGATGGACAGAACTCCCACCCACGATTTGTAGCCACCAGTCCAAATGTCAAACAAAACCTGGCAGCAATTGGCCCCAACAGCTGGGACTTGATTAATGATTGACAGCTTCCATAATTTTTGCACCTACTTCCAACTTGGAACCAACCAGAGGAAGGCAGACCCCTAAGCTGCAGGATCCCCTCTTCAGGTGGCCTCCACCAGCGCATCCCCGAGGCGTCCCTCTTTTCTACAGACAAATCTATAAAGCTCTCTCCCTCTCCTCCCTGCCTTCAGGTCCCTGACAGGCACAAGAGGTGGCAGCTGACCCCCCACAGATGGTTCCAAATAAGCAGCCTCCACAGGCCCCCACGGGCTGCGCATGGGCACCGGGGCAGGAGAATCCAGTTTACAGATGTCACGAGGCCATGTGGAACACTCGGAAGCCTCCAGAGCTCCTCTTGGGCTTACCAGCCATGTTCCACGCACCTGGCCCTTCCCCTCCACCCCTACATGTCCTCAGGCTGAGAGTCAGGGTCCCAGATGGCCTGGCACAAGCCAGAACCCAGGACTATCTTCAGCTCAGACTCCCTGGGGTGGCAGCATGGCCTCCCCCGGGGCATAGGAATCTGCATTCCCACAGCTTCCGCAGGGTCCCAGCTCTGCGGGGCCCGAGCACCTAGGCTCAGCCCCTTGGGACGCTGAAGGTCAGGGCACCGAGAAAGGTCCCCTCTGCCCCCAGAGTCCCCTTCTAGTCAGTGAAACCCAAGGGAAAGGGCCTCAGGTGCAGTGCTTGAAGCCCTGGGGACTCCAGCTCCACATTGCTGGGGTCACTGTGGTTCTTTCCCAGTGGCTTTTTCTACCAACAAGGGTTTCCACTGGGATGGGCCAGGCACAGCACAGACCACGGATGCCAAAGGCCTGGTCTCCCTCCCTGTGAGGGCCATCCCAGATTTGAGGGCCCACCCTGCCCTCTGGAGGAGAGGTCCAAGAGGCCCTGGGCCACCTCCCAGGTATGACTCCTGTCTGCCTCCTCTGCCTGGGCCTGGCCAGTCCAGAATGGAGACGCCTGCCTGCCTCCCTCATGCCTGGCCACTGTGCTGCTCACGGAAGCCAGGCGGCCACTGCCCCTGCCTGGTAGTCACCTGTCAGGCTGAGCTGGGGCATGCAGAGCAGGACCAATGCTGCCCCCAAGGTCAGACACCACTTACCCAGCCCCTGCTGAGTAGATGGAGAAACAGGGCCAGAGAGGGGCGGCTGCCCAGGTGGGCACCAAGCTGTGCACAGTGGCCAGGAGGCCTGCACATTACCCTGGCCTCCAGCAGGCCACCGTGGGGATCCTGGCTCTGTGGGGGACCTGGTGAGCCCTTCAGCCTCTGGGCCTCAGCTCCCTCACTCCCGCAGCAGGGTCCCTGGGTCCCCAGCCCCACCAGGCCTGGAGATCCACGACATGCTCTGATCAGGCTCCCCATGAGCAGGCTGGCCCTTGAGCCTGGACACTGGGGAGGTGGGTGCTGCCATCTGTGGCCCATTCCTGCAAGGACTGACAATCCAAGGGGCTCTGGGGACCTCAATGCAGTGGGGGCACGTGAGGCCCGGGAGGGGGGCCTGGGGTGGGGTGGCAGGTCTGAGGGGGCCTGCTGGCACCAGCGTGGGGGCTGGCATGCTTCTGGGCCTAGATCCAGCAGAGGCGTGGGGAGGGTGAAGGAGGGAGCCTGTCTTCCAGGGGTGGGCGGAGAGCATGGCAGGAGCGGGATTCCGGAACTGCAGCAGGGGCTGCCACACTGTATTTTTAGCTCCTCCAAAAGCCCAAATTTTTCCACTGCCTGGCAACCCTCAGCTCTCCATAGCTGCTCGCCTTCCTGGCAGCTCCCTGGAGTTCAGGAGCAGCCCCCAGAGCTGAGTCTGTCCTGCTGCGACCCCGTCAACTTCCCTCTTAACTATAATCTGGGCTCCCTTGAGCCTGACCCAGCAAGTATAGCACCTTCCCATCAGGCTGCAGGCCGTTGGGGACAGGGCTGCCTTGTGGGGTCACCTGCCTTGTGGGCCGTGGATCATATAGGGCTGGAGGTGGCGGTGGCCAGGGAGCAGGCTGGGGCAGTAGGGCCCTGGGGAGCACTGAGGTGTGCAGCCCAGAAAAGGGAGTCCGAGGAGGGGGCGGGCGGAAGGCACTCCTGGCCGTGTTGAATCCAAAGCCAGAATCACAGGAGCAAGAAGCCTTGGGCAGGATTTCACCCACAGGCCTGTGACGTGTCCCTGGGACACCTGCTGAATGCCAACAGAAACAGTAAACAGGAAGTGCTTGCTGGGGCCCGGTGGGCGATGCCTGGCCTGGGCCCGGGCAGGAGGGTCTGGCACAGGGCTGCCTGTGCTGAGCACTGTGTGTCTGGGACTCTATTAAGGGGCTGGGGGGGTCTCAGAGTCCCCTCCTCCTGAGCTCAGCTCACTCAGCTCGCCTTAGGAGGACAGGAAGGGCGGAGGCCTCCACGCCAGGACGCTGGGCTTCCATTTCCACCTGCTCTGACATAAAGCAGGGCTAGGGTGCCCTAGACTTGCACTGTCACCAGAGGGGTCCCTCTGGGCCTGAGTCTCCCCAGCTGCACAGAGTAGGGCCACTGGGTGTTTGCTTAGGGCCTGGCCCCTCCAACATTCTGGGGGTTTTGGTATAGAGTCTGGGGCCAGAGAGAGGCGTGGGGTAATGACAAAGACGGTGGCCACCAGTCAGGGACTCTTGGAGTCCAAGGTCCTCACCCTCAGCAGCACCTTCTGTGCTGGGCCCCATCAGCACTGTGGAGTGCAGGGGTGTGGTTCTTGGGCTCAGATGAGGAAGCCAAGGGACTTGCACAGGCCCTGCAGGCGGCAGTGCTGGGATGACCTTGGGCTGATGTGCCGCAGGCCTGTCCACCTACAGGAGCTGAATGGGGGATGGGGCAGGCAGCCTGAAGGCCCCAGCCTCATCCCAGGATGCCTGCTGGGTCCTCTCCCCAAGACTGGTCACTTGTCCCTCCCGGTCCCTTCGATGCTCCCCAGGGAGGGATGGCCAGCTTCAGGACTCGGGTTCTGACTGCTGAGTGCTCCTCTGGGCCTCGCGATGTCCGGTCCTGAGCCTGCGCTCCACAAGCCCCCCAAGGTGTCCCAGAACCAGGCCACCCCCCCAGGAGCAGGGAGAACAAAGGCAGCCTGGGAGCGGGAGGGGCCCGGCCTGCAGCCCCCAGCATGAGGGCGGCTGCCAGGGAAGGCACTCAGCTCCGATTCCAGGCACAAAGGGGCCTACAGCTGGGCACAGGTGCCTTGGACGGCCCACTGGACTCCCGTTCCCGTCTTCCACACGTAGGAGCATGTCAAAGCCACTCCTGGACTGGAGTGCACCAAAGGGCCATGCTCTGACTGCCCACACCCAAAGACCAGGCCAGCTTGACAACCAGGAGTCAGCTGGGACAGTGCTTTAGTCTCCCAGGCTCCTGCTCCTCCACAGCCAGCACCAGGGGACCTGTTGGAACTGACTGGGTGAGTGAGATCCTTGGCATGGGTGTGGCATGCCTGTTGGCATCCTGGGGAAGTGTCAGTGCCAGGCCCTCAGGAAAGCCAGCCGATTCTGTACTCAGTTTTCTTGTCTGTAAAACGGGCAGGGTGTTCTCCAGGGGCCTGTGGCTCCTGCCCTCAGCTGGCTCGGCCAGCACTGCCCTCAGTGCCCACCCCTCACCCCCCAGAGGCAACTTCCTGGGCCCAGAAGCCCCTGCTCTCCTGCCTGGCCCTCTGAGCTTGAGGTCCCCCAGGAATCTTGCTCTCAAGCCACTCACATCTGTGCACACAGGAGGCAGACAGGCAGGGACAGGCAGCGCCTGGGCCAGTGAAGAGCAGCCTGCCCCCTGCTGCTGGGCGCAGGCGGCAGTGCCAAGCTGTACTTGGAGCAGAACGGGGACAACAGGCACGTGGAAGGTGGGGGAGGCAGGCTGCACGTGGAGGCCACAGCCCAGGGCCAGGCACAGATGGGGAGACTGAGGCCATGAAGATGTTCTCATGCAGCCGGAGGCTGACTTCTAGGCCATGTCCAGCACTGGACAAGGACCAAGATCAAGCTCAGCATGGAGAAGCCCCTGCTGCACATGCCAGACTGTCTGGGGGAAGCTGCCACCGGGCATGTCCAGCTAGGACACCTGCCAGCTCTCTGACCCACTGTGCTTGGGATGGGTCTCCACACTAGCTCTGATGTTGGGGCTCAGTGGCACCAACTGCAAAATGGAAAGCAGACCCTGCCTCCGGCTCCCCAAGTGTTTTCTGGCTGTTCTTCTGTCCATC